ACCTTGTCCCATGTTTTTTTTGTCCATGGCATGCCAAACATGGGACTATTTTTTTTGTCCCGTCCTGTCCCATGTAATCTGCATACCAAACGCACCCTAAGACATATTTGGCATGTTATAAAGCCAATTTCGTTGTGCTAGTGATTAATTTTATCTAGGCTTAGTCGTCGAAAATCCTTACCTATACTTTCCTTTTTGGTGCCAAAGAACTTCTGGAGATCAACGAGAACTTCGATAGGAACCGTGAGGTTTTAGAAGCTGTCTTCTTCTCTACATGAAAGTTGTTAGGTTCATCTGAAATGTCGTAATCAGAAGCAACAGACTCTTCCACATAATCTTCATGCTCTATATCTCTCAAAAGCCGAAGCATTTCGTGTGCTTTTGCTCTCCCTTTATCGTTTCCATTAATTGAAATCGAAACCACAGCAGGAATCACCCCTTCGTCCATCACCAAACGACAATATTGAATGCTTTGAGAGCATAACGAAAGCAGAATCTCGAGCGCCTGGTCTTGCTCCTCACAACTCTCACTCTCAAGAACCTTAGCAATGAACGGTACACACCCATTGGTCTCAGCGATTATGCTTTTGTCATCTTGATTGCTACACAAATTTGTCAAGATTGCTATGCAGTACCTCGAGAGTGAATCATCTTCACAAAGGGTGACCAGTTTCGGGATTAGATCTGAAGAAACAATGAGAGATCGAACATTTCTGGTCAACGTCAAGTTATAGAGAATCTTGAGGGCCGGTGTTTGAATTTCTCTGATTTGGGTATCGAGAATCTTGAAGATATACGGAAGGGCACCGGAGGATGCAATTTCCGATTGACAGTTTTGGTGGGAAGACAACACTTCTGTTATAGCAAGAGCTTCTTCTATCACTTCTGATTCAAGAAACTCTGCTATCAAGACGTATGCATCTTCACTCAAGTATTTTACATTTCTGCAAAGAAAAAAAACCGAAACTTTTCTAATTTCAATATGAAAAACGTGAACAAAACAACGAAATTAGAATTTATCATTTATGTAACACCCGAAAATAGAGAGTACCCAAATGCTCACTACAACAAAAGCGGGTTTATAAGTCTATACTTTATAGAACTCAAGTTTTGTAGGACCTAACAATTAAGCATCCTATCTGAAAGTGTTGCAATAAATTCAGATGTCACTTTTGGGCATTCTGACAAGTTTTTTAAGACCATTTTATAATAAAGCGTCGATTAGCTTTGTTAAAGGACAATTTTTGATGAGGATTCTTTTACATTAGAGCACTACATTTTTTCAAATAATGTCGTATAAAAAAAATTAACAAAACGTTTTATTTCAAAATTGTCCAGAAAGACTTGTTAAGACGCCCAAAACCGTGCTATAACTAACCCTGAGTGAGTTAGCTCACTCGCCATAAGGTTTGGACCTTTGGAACTCCTTCCCATAGTTCACCGGTTTGAGTCCCTCAACGGCCCTATGAGATTAGTCGAGGTGTGCACAAGCCGGCCGAACACCCACTTCACCAAAAGAACCGTTATATTAACTTTTACATATGACGCACAAGTGTTTGGTCATAAAATAATCTACTAGAATATTTTACGTCCTATAAACTCTATTTTTGTTGTAATGTCTATCGGGATGGATCAAATACGAGCAAAAGTACCTGGATTCACCAACCAATAGTAGCAACAGCAAACATCCGATCCTCTGAGCTTTCACATCGTTTATAGCACGAGCAACCTTTAAGAATTTCACAAGCGATTCAACCAAATTCCCTAATGATATCAATTTACAAGCTCGATCATCCCGTTTCAAACAGGTCATGAGATCTTCAACGATCTTGCATTGGAACTCCCATGGAAGTGCATCATCGAGTTCTTGAGATAATGATTCCACATCTAGTTCACGAGTATCTTCAGCAGTGTGACTACTGTCTAACGAACTGAGTGATAAGTTACTGAAATCAACCGGAAGTTGAAAACTGTACATCGAACTCAAACTATTAACCGAAGAACATGAATTTTCCCACGCGTTAGCATCGGTTGATAACTGAATACATGGATCCGATAAGGTGACTCTGTGAGTTTCACACCATCTTGTGATCAGATCTTTCATTGCAGTATTAGGTGTCAAAGAAAAGTTCGAAAGTTTCCGATTAGTCTTTGGACATACATCGTGACCTTCATCGAACCATTTCTGTATCCACATTCTTTCAAACGTTTGGCCTGAATCTATAACAACCGGATCATACATTAACTTGAGAGAAATCGGACACTTGAACTCTTCAGGCGGTACACCATTCCCTCCCATTCGAGCTTCTTCATAGTCAACACATACGTCAACCTTCCGGGACTTATAATCTTGATTTTCCACAACGTTATTGTTCTCTAAGTCTCCAGAAGCAATCGACTTGCCATACTTTGTCAGCAAAGCCAAAAGGAACATCAGAATCTGCTTCTTTGGTTGTTTGCCATCCCCTTCACCAAGTCCGTTCAGAAGTTTCTTTATGGATCTTCGTTCCATCAAAAGAGCTTTCTGGGAAGTAATATGAAGCTTTAGAGCTGCAATCCGAATACACTCGTGGCGAGACTCCTTCCCTGAATGGTTTCCAGTGTCGTATCCCTCAAGTAAAGCTCTAACGGCCTTCCCGGCCTCTTCTTCAGACGGATCTAAACTAAGTTTCATCTCCCTAAGCTCCGCAATTATCTGTGAGATCTGCAGAACAGTTTCTTATCAATTTCACCATTAAGATATGTTGGGAACCTATTATTCATGTTTTATTGATAATGAATGTCGTGATAGATATTCATAATGAAAATGCATGATATTGAGGGTTATTCATTATGAATAATATATGAAATAGTTGGTTCCCAATTCTCAAACATAATTCATATTATTATTGCAGCATCAGATAATCAACTAACCTTTGATGCAAGCATCACAGGAACCATATTTTGGATCTGACTCAAACTCTGTTCCAATAGTTTCTTGGACTTTTTACATCTTGATAGAACTGCATGGCCTGTCAATGCCTGAACATATTCAAAATAAACCAAGATCAGAAATTGCAATTCTTAGATCAAATAACAATGAAAAACATCTCAAGTGTCAAAATCGGAAAATCCCATTTCACATATCATTTCTGGGGCAGGTTGAAATGAAAACCATAAATATGCTAAGAACCTGCAAACCAGCTATTCATTTATTATTCATGATGAATATCGTGATAGATATTTATAGCATTCATAATGAAAATGCATGATATTCATGGATATTTAGGGTTATTCATCATGAATAATACATGAAATAATTGATATCTGGTTCTCAAGATATGCATGGTTCTTATTTGAACTTCCATGTATTGTCTAGAAAAGCTAAAAGCCTAGGGAATGAAGTCTGTGAATACTTAGCACACACATACCAAGTAGAGCTTACTCGACTCACTGCAGTCTCGAACCGATGACTTGGCTTTATCAATGGCACTGTTTAACAGACAAAGTGACTGGATCCCAGATGAGCATCGAGGTCTGTACGCTTCTATTTCTGGGAATATCTTATCAATTCTATCGACCATCTTCATTAATCCTGTGCACATAATGCTATGCACCTGATCTCACTCAAAACATACAGACACTCTGAGCTCAATAACAATGGCTAATTACAACAACTTATAATCATTCAAATCAAATCAATACCTTGATGTCATGAGGCGATGGCAGTTTCTCCACAGCTTCAGCAACGTCAGTCCCCATCCGTATAATAAAGCTATCCTGGTTATATTGATTTGTCAAACCATCAAAACTTGTTTCTTTCATTGCTTTCAAGAAATTATGGGAACTAAATGCAGAAAGGATCATCAAAATTGGCACATTTCTTATATGAATCAGAAAAAAAAGGCATTTAAAAGTGACCAAAAGGTTATTGTTAATCGATTTTAAGCCAAGAAATCTTAAACCTCGGTCAGATCTCTCTAAACTAGCCTTAAAGAGTATAGTTCGAATGCATCTGAGGTCAGCTATTTTTCATCTTTTTGGTTCAAGAAATAAGATATGTTAAAGAAGGGCAACAATGGAGTGTCAAAGTGAGCTGATTGTGAATTATGAACATATAACAAAACTTGAACCAATAAACAATTAACAAAATCTTGATGATAACCCAATTGCATAGATAGAATTTGAAAGAAGTGAGACCTTTCTCTATCATAATTCTTGAGTAGATAAATAAGCATAAATATTGAAACATTAACCCTCGTAAACTTCATCGGTTTGAATATTGAAGAATCTTTACCTATCAACAGTGATCAGCACAGGGACTCTTTACGCAAGTTGAAAGAAACCCAGTTCGGAGAACTGTACCCAAAACGTAAAATGCTCAATCTTTCAGAAACGCCTTTTGGGGAAAGACGAAAACCCTTTTACCAATCAAACTCCAACGAAAAATTCAATTTCTTGGGGGCATCTTCTCTTTTCCATTATAATCAAGAAATGGTACACAAGAAGATATGTTGATGATTGCAAAATCAGAAAAAATAAACCCTTCTTGATTTCTTTGTCAAACCCTCAATTTTTTTTCTGCAAACCAAAAACCCCCAAAGATTATGCCTCAAAAGTTCACACAATCTCCAAGAAAATCAGCAAAAACCACGAATTGAGGATGAAGCAGCCAAGAAACACCAAAAGCAAGAAAAGCAGGGTAAAGAAGAATAGTTGAAGCAAAGGCAGACCACAAGAAGATAAAAAGGTTCAGAAAGGAAGCAAAGAAGAAATTGAATGGGACATAGCAATTAATATAGGAATCTTTGGGTCGAAGAGATGGTGTATGGTGCGGCTCTACCACTATATAACCTTGGCTCTACCACTATAACCTTGGCCCTACAAACCATGGTTAAGAGAGGGTTGGATGATGCAAAAGCCGTCGCCAAATTTTGAAAACAAAAATAAGTCGCATCGGAGACGAGTTTTCATTTATTTATTATTATTAACTTGGATATCCAATTCGTTATGCGAGTCGACTAATCTTAGAATGACCATCTGTTTTGCAAATAGCTCGGAGTCATCGATTTGAATCTCCATGGCCATAAAGGGATTTATATTCTTTATTGGATTTAAACTGAGACCTTCTGATACTTTTAACCTTTGGAATCAAGCTCAAATCAATCAAACATAATCATGGTTGAGAAGACGAGTTTATTGGTCAAAGGGAGGAGCACCAAAGACAAAATGTAAATGAATGGGTTTACGTGGGCTCCTTCGTCATTCAATTTTACTTTTTCAATTGTGGAAGTTCCCTATAATTTATGTTTACGTCTTATTCAAATAGACATATAATGTAAGTTGTATGTTTGTTTATTAATAAAATAAAAATAAAATATATGAAAAAGATATTTCTGCAAAAGATAAAAATATATATATTTTAGTTTTTAAGTATAAATAAATTAGATTAATTAACGTTTACGAAAGAAAGGAATGTTGTGGTTTTTTTAATTGATCAGTATCAAAAAAGATTAACTTAACGTTATTGTGTATATAAATCTATCAGAATTAAGACCAATATTTTACTTAAAACTAGTCACATATAGTATAAGTCTATAGGAATTAAGACATTTTAAGAAAGTATAACACGTCATTTTTTTATGTTCGTGAAGAAAGATAAAATCCCAACTTTTATCATTTAAATCGAGTCGGGACTTGGGATTATTCTTATAGTTTAGTATCAAAATACAACCTATCGGTTGCCATTCATAACAACGAAATTAAAAGAGAAATACATTGAGGATTAACTTCAATTAGTTTTGAGAGTTTCGTTTAGTAATCCTCGCTCAGTTCTTTGTTCTCTTTCCTAATTTGTATTACGTTAATTGTGAGTTGTTTTGTAATCCTCGTACAACATCGTACTAGTAGTGGAATGACGTTAACTGTGAGTTGTTTATTACTTTGTTTTCTCAAATTGTGATTTGCGCATTTGATTTGTCATATCTATTATTCGGTTAGTTCGTTCACATCCGATTGTTGATGATTATTACACATCACTTGATTGATAAATTAGTGATTGCTTCATTCATTTTTTCTTGGACTATTATGGTACTTGAATACCATTAGTATTAGGGACTGTTTGGCAGTTGATGAATGGTTTTGTGCAAAATCATTAAGTAGTCATAATGATTAAAATATTCTCATGATATACTGCAAAATGAAATATAATTGTTTGGTAATTGTTTACAATGAAATTAGGGCTCTTAATGTTAAGAAAGGTCCATGATACAAAATCATTCAGAGGGTTTTGTAACTATTAAAAGACAGACTTTTTTTTGTCAAATAAGATTCACCTCTTAACGATTCAGAGATTGTCTCTTAATGAAACTATTAAGAGGTAAACAAACAACCCCTTAGTTAATTTTTTGCTAATTTTTTACAAAAGAAAGAAAATGGAAAAAGAACACTTTTTACACTATGTAGCACAAGATAAGTAATGCATAAAGTATAGTAGAGAATGTGATACCAACACCGTCTTTAAAGTGGTTCGCCAACTTGGCTAATCCATTTTCTAAGACCCTTCTCGATACACGATCCAGGAGTTCTTTGTGGTAAAATATAAACCTTGATATAATGATTGTATTAATCTTCTGTTGTTTTTGTAATAGGAAAATGTGGATCACTCACACTTATGAGAAATACTCACAAGAAGAAGGAATATTAAATGACAATCATCAGAACAAACAAGATAATAAAATCAGTTTCTGCACATTTGCACAGACAAATATTTTATCAAGGTTCAAAAAGGCGTAAGGCATGGCATGACGGGGAGGTCAAGCCTCAAACCTTACACACCACAGCGAGGACACGACGTTTTTCAAAACGTATTATACGCCGGTAAAATTGTATGTAATATATAGAATTATATGTATAGATATATGTCTTCTATATATTATTTAATGAGATAATGATGTAAAAAATATATTAGAAGAAGAAAATCATATATATATTATAAAAATAGGTTTTTGATTAAATATTTAAAATAAAACTTAGAAGGATAATTTTAGAACTACATTTTAATCGTGAGTCCTTGATGTTTATAAATTTGTGAAACTGTGAATGATGTGATTAGTTATATCTATAAAAATGTAAAATCTAAAGTTAAAAGTGTATAAATACAAAAGATAAGAAATAAAAAAATTGAAAAAAATCACGTCTTACAAAAAAACGAGCGTCGCGGCGCGCCATGACGTAAATCACGCCTTACAGAAATGCTATGGGCCATTTTGTAATAGTGGAGACACATCTTGCATGGCGTGCCTTTTTGAACACTGATATGTATGTGTGTGTGTGTGTGTATTATAAAATCTCATTGGTGAGAGTGAATGAAAAATCATTTATCTCTCATCTCATCACCTTTTGGAGTATTCTTAAACTTTGAGGCTTATCTTGTTTTCACAGTTTTAGATAACGATATAAAAAATTTATAACGTATGAAATTCTGGTATGTAATATTTTTGAGTTTTACTATATGTTTCGACCTTAAAATACCATTGATTAAGTATATATTTGCAAGTGCAAGTGTTGGTACGAAGTTAGACAAGAAAACCCAAGAGAAATAGCAAAATAAGACTAAAACAGTGGCTTACGTAGGTTGGTGAGGGACTTAGGTCGCTGGATAAGCAGCGTAACATTTGTTTGGTGCAGGTTTGGGCATGGGCAACCCTTGCGGGTCTCGAGCCAAGCTCGCCAGAAGCATCAATAGGTTAAAATCAGGATTTTAGGTTTAAGCTCATAAAGTTTCATACCAACCAATTTCTCTCCATACTTATTGCAACTAGGTACTTTTGGAGGTACCAAATTTGTGGATTCAAAGCATTTAAGATCATTGGAAGCTTCAGTTCAAGTCTTACGGATAAAGTTTCAAGATCTCCTTCATCCTCTTCTTGCCATCTTTGACTTAGTTTTTAGGGTTTCCTCCTATAACCTATAACTATGAAGTGTTATGGAACTAAAACGGCCTTCTTACTCAGGGTTTTCATTTTTGGAGAAAATAGCTTTTACATTATGGGTTATAAGTTAAATATTTGATAAACTTTATGAACTCTTAGATATTGTTGGTTTGGTTTCACACCTTGTTTGGAAAGTGATATATGCCCTTTTATTGTTGGCTTGAATAGATAATTAAACCATACTGCAAAATATTTGGGTGTATAATTGATGTGGTTCTTGTTATATGTTCGAGCATGATTATGATGTAAATTGTGTCTTGTTGCATTTATCTATATGCGTAGCTTTTACACCATAAAGAGAGGGGTTTTGATGCTCTCGTCTTAGAAACTTTGACTTTAGACAAGTGAGGAGTTTTGATATCATCACGTTGTAACTTGGGGACCATCTAAATAAGGAGTTTTGATTTTCTTATCTTAGCCCCAAGAGTAGTAAATGGTAACTTACTCGTCAACATCTCAATGTGGCTTACTAGTATTTAGCCACTTGATGGAATCGGGTCTCCCCCGTTATCCCAAGAAAAACCGATTAACACCATGCCTTCATTTGCAAGTTAACCTTTATCTCATGAGAGGCTAACCTGTATTGATACTCCATTCTTATTTGTGGCATGTAACTTGACATAAATTATTAAAACTCCCTAGGCGTTAAGCCTAACGCTTCTTCTTATTGGCGTATATAGCAGGTCATAGTAGTGACAGTGCCAAGGGCTAGTGAGTTAGAGTTTGGAATGTGATTTAGAAGCACAAATGGGAACGACATTTTGGGAGAGCTCTTATACTTTTGAAGATAACAAAACTTCAGTGGTTGATGTAACCCGCAACTCAAATCCAGTTATATTATAATTAGATATAAGTCTATAGAACTCTAATATTCAAACTTTGCAATTCACTATCTTGTAAATACTAATGCCTTTTAGGGGCAAATACTCTTATTTTGTATTAAATTGACGGTTTCTATCTGTTACTTTCAAGTTTTAAAGATGTCACAGAAATAAAATAGAAGACAAGATTTTTGTTTTCAGTATTTTTTAAAGTTTATTAAAAATAATTTAAGATTTAAAGAGACACTATTATTTAAAAAATCATACTCATTAATTATAAAACCTTAAAACTTGCTCCAAGTCAATATTGAATGAAGTGATAGATTAGGTGGGTCAAAAACAACGAAAATGGCTTGTATCATCATTGATTCTTGGGAGGAAAAGGGAATTTGGTTTAGGATAAAGACATAATAGCTAATGACTAGTGGCTAATGGCTAATGGTTAATGGTTAATGGTTAATGGTTAATGTAGAACGATATTATTTTCCTTTTAAATAATGGGTCCAAATTCATTTTGGATTTGGTCCACTCATTCTCAACCAATGGCAACCCTTCTTTCCCCCCTCTTACTTTCTTAATCAAATCGATAGGTATTGGTTGTTCAAGTTGCATACATGTACATGTATCTATCATATCATATCGTATGAATTATTTGGATCATTGAATTGTATATGTAGATTAGTAATACATTAAAAGTTATAGTTTCTTATTAAATTTTTTTGCCAAAATATAAATAAATACATTTTATATTATCATATAAGCTAATTAACTGATTCACATATAAGAGTTCACATATGAACATATAGTTCATATGTGAATCACACGGGTTCATATATGAAACCGTTTACCGTCTATTTATAAAAGTTACGAAACTGAACCACAACGGTGGTGCCTGATTGGTTTGAGCTTGGCTCCAAATAGGGGTGTAAATGATACGAGACAACTCGCGAGTT